TACGGGAATTTAAGGTTGGCCAACATGTGTTGTACAAGACAATAAAGGCCCCAATGATGGGCGGAGCAGAAAGCTTGAACCTTGTTATAGAGGACCCTTCCTAGTTACTAAAGTACTTGATAATGATCGGTACGTGGTTGACGAACTGCTAGGGTCTGAACGTTGTAGAACAGCTAGATACGGGCATTTGTCCTTCAGACAAAATGAAGAGATAGTTTCGCAAAGCGACACTGTGAAGCCGAGGACGAATAGAAATATTCGTGCTCATATTTATTAATTTCAGCTTAATTAATATATTTTCTTTGTTATAGTTTAACTATGTTTCACGGGGTCGTGAAAAAGTCAGGTAGGCCGACTGTAATCTACTTTTGGATGGTCCCTTAACCCGAGACGATTTCTGGGAAACAAAAACATCGTAAACCGGGCGGCCGACAGAAATGGGTCGTTCAATCATATTCAAAGGTTCAATCAGTGGGTCAACTATTTGGATGGGCAGATTATCGAACACCGTTGAGGAATGCAGTCGGTTTCTTTGTTAAGACTGTGTTATTCTATTTGTTTTAATAATTATTATTTTTGTAACGTTATTTTAATATTAATAAACTTCATACGTAAAATAAACATTTAATTATTTGTGTGGTTTACACTATTTTTTTTTGGGTTTAACAATTTCGTTAAAAACAGGCAATTGTGTCTTTATCAAGTTAAAATTCCGTTTTTGCGTAGTAGCTAACGAGAACAGAAAAATTCAGTTGTTACTGAGTAGACTTCGCATGAAATGGGTGTGATTTGCTAACTTTCAAAAATATAGTGATATTTAAATCATCCGATAGTGGGTTTAGTTTTGGAAGTTATTTTTCGATTTTGGGTTTGTGCTTTACCTGTTGGATATTGGTATTTTGGTGCTCTGGTTGTTGATTCCCAAAATTATCCTTAATAAGGATTATTCCACACTCCACGTGCGCTGTGTTCTTGAGGTTCTACTGGCATTTACCTATAGGAAGACAGCAAAAAGGAGGGCGCATTAATAGTGGTTGTTCCCTCGCTTACCGACCCGTAGTCTTAATTAGAAAAAAAAAACCCTTGGCCAGGGTAAGTAAATAAAATTAATTTAAGTAGGTTTAATTAATTTTCTTTCATGAAGGTGATTTGCCACCTCTACCTTTTTATTTAAATGATTTGTTTTTCATCGTCGAGTTCGCCGTTTCTATTCACAATTCTATTGACGATATGAGTTAAATTTATTCTTTTTATGATGCATTTCCATCATTATAGTATTTGATGCTTTTTGATTAAAATATTCTATTGTTTTTATTTTAATATTAATTTCCTAGTGAGCTTATATATATTTTCTTTAAATAAAAAAAGGAATATTTTATTAGTGCTTATTCTCTTTTCAATTAAAATATAAATGGGTCTTTGACATATTGTCTTTTACTCTGTTTAGGGTTTTTTTTACGTTGGGCATCATTTGCTTTGGATTGTTAACTCGAAAACCGGGAGCCTGTCCTAGGAAGTCCTTGGGAGAACGTGATTCGTTCTATTTACACCTCTCCAGCTCGAGTCTGCCGGCTCGAATTTGAGAACGTTCTACGAGATAACCACCGCTGGAAACACGCAAGTTGTTCTTTTTTAATGATATTCGAACAGTTTTTTTTTTGACTTATAAATTAATGAACATTGTTTTTTTTTTACATGGAGTAGACAATCTGACTCTATTATTTCTTTTTTTCTTGTGGGGATTTATAATTAACGTTAGAATTATTTTTGTGAGCGGAATGCTAAGGATTTGGGCTTTACCTACCTATATTATTTGATATTTGAGGATATTACAGAAATCCTCAGCGCATGCGCAGGGGGTTTTTGGCTAGTGCTTCTGCTTTGGGTATCTGTGTTGACAAAATCAAGGTTTCTTTTAACCACATTTGCAGGGAACGGAAGGGTTTTGAAAGTTATATTTTTTGCCGCTTGTACGAATTCAGGTGAGCCTATTTTGGGGAGGATTTGTCCAGGTTCAAGCTTAGAGTTTGGTTCTGTATCCATTAAGGAGTCCGTACTTTCGACAGAGTCTCCTGATTTTTCTAATACATCTATTAGTTTTTGTGTTGTTATGTCATAGTCTTTACCTTCTGCTAGACTCTCTTGACTCTCCTGACTGTCCTGGAATTCCAGTGACTCCTCTGAGTCGACCGTGGACGGCTTGCGCGCCTGTGTTCCACCTTCTATGCTAATGTTTTGATCTTCTGTAGTTTTACTAAGTGTTTGGAGGTCACCTGAAGGTGAAACCTCGGAAATTTTTGCCGGGAGTCTTCCTGTTGCTTCTTTTCCATATCAGTTATAATTGGAGGACACAGTGCATCAAAAATGTTAGTACTCACATAGGTTGATCCTGTTCTCTTAATTTTGGCTTTTGCAGTCTTCGGCGAATTCAATTTAAGTACTCTGTCATACTGTGATTGAGTGAATCTGCATCTATTTTTGAGGCGTCTAGTGTATTCGG